TTTACTTTTTACTCCTGTTGACCATGATTGAAATCTTAAGCTCCCATAAACTGAAATTAAAATGAGTTCGATCCTTACTGGGTGACCCCACACTTTCGACCTTGTACGACATCTAAGCTACGCTTAGAAAATTACCATAACTGAAATTAAAATAATTTCAAAAGCAAAACTTAAAATGAGAATTTGTCCGTCCGAAACGCATGCCTACACGAAATTAAAATAAAATGTCTAGCTCAGAACTGTCTTCTTCATGGAAACACTGGGTTTTTTAAATTTTTTAAAAAGTCACAAATACCAGACCAAGGGCCAAGGCACATGCAAACTGTGTAACATGTTGGGTGTGTGTTTGTTTTAGTAATATTTTGTTAGAAAGTCTTAAATTTTGTTATTGTTCAAAAAGATAAAACCTTTCAAAGCACATTTGCACGAATAAGTGTAGCTTAGATGTGGCACAGGTCCGAAAGAATGGAACATCCGGTCCATATTAGCACGCCGAGAACAAGCAGGAGGCTTGCACGAGATGTTACTAGCCCCATGCACGGCTGATTTTGAATTATCCTTCTCCGAGACTAGTAGCCAATTACCCTACTATTTAACCCATATCTAGGGGGAAGGATGGCGTCATACCTTTCTCAGAGGCATTTGGACGAAAGTGTAACATCTCGCTCCGATTCGTTAACTATTACACCACTTTCTTTCTATAAAATTGGAAGGTGTCGTAATAGAGGGTAGGAAAAATCAGAAAAATGGTTTGGAAATGATTTTTTAAAAAAATCTTGTCTTTTGTTTCTAACGAAATTTTCCTGTTTCTTAATACTTTGTTTAGCATCTTTGGCTATTCCAATGTACCTTTGGATTTCCATCCTAAAACACTTCCCAGATATTTAAATTGTTGTTATTGTTTGATTTTGGTAATTTGCATATTAGGCTGCACAGTATTGAACTCACTTCAAGAATAATACTTTTCTATACTATCTTGGTAACTTTTTGTTAACGCAAGGCACCTAAATATGTTAGATTTAGCATAGTCTGGCACAAGGCTACAAGTCTTGAGCACTCAGTGAGGAGCAAATTTACACCAATCCTAATGGTCTGAGAAAAAAATTGTTTGTACCTACTCTATGGTGAGACAACCGTTTTGTTTCAACTTTTCATCCGTTCAAGTCAGTCTAGGTTTGGCACAATGCTAAATTTTGATGGCGCTCAATGCTTGAAAAAGAAGTTGAATTAAGTAACAAGATTAGGTTGGTAAATTTTATATCACCTCTAAATATCTGCTGTGTTTGACTAGATCTGGTAAATAAACAAATACAGTGGCAGGTGAAACTAATGAAGTTTCAGAGGCCCTAATCCCAGAGGGGATCCTGAAGCAAGGGATTTTTTGGTGGTGGGGGTTAAGTATTTGTTCTTAAAATGGGGCTATTTTAGTGATAGAATCATAAAGATAGAGGCACTTCAACATGGTGTAACAGTTAGCAAGCTTGTCTCACTAGATCAATTACAACTGAATAGCTAGTTTGGTCCTCATTGGGTGCCCATACTTTCAGCCTTGTGCCACATTTAAGCTATGCTTATTAAACTGCCATAAGCCAATAGGTTGAAGTAGCTAATGTTGGCCTTATGCCCTAATATAGCCTCAATTTCCCTGGAATTGGTTAAAATTCAAAAATGCTCTTGGTAGCTTGCAGCATCCAAACACCCAGCTCTATGGGTTCATTGAGCTTACCAAAATATACTCATAGGCTACATTTTGGCAGTTGGATCCTTGAATCTATTGTTGCTGGATTGAGAAGGTCACCCTATCTGTTCAAGCTTTAGGGCCCCAAAAATTTAGGTCAGCCACTGAACAAGTATCTATCGAACAAAAAAAGTGTATAATAAAAAAAAAAATTCTTAAACAAACGTGGGACGTTTTTGAGACAGAATATAGTGTGTGATGCATACCTTGTACAAGCCCTGAAGGCCACTTGTGGTTGAGGGTTACAGAGTAAAAGGCACAGATTATGCGGATATGTGGGGAAGATAATAGTTAATGCTAGACTTGAATAGGTTCACGTTACAGTGATCAGAGGAAACATCCTTTTAGAATTTGGTTTCACAATGAGAGAATAAGAATGTGGGGGTTTGGAATCTCTTCTTCTTCCTAACCAAAGAAGCTGGGAACAGGCCATTATGCATAGCTTAGATGTCATAATTGTTCTAGCAAGACAAGCTTGCTAACCATTACACCACGCTGAGGTGCCCGGGGATTTTCTAAGCATAGCCTAGACATGGCAAAATGTCGAAAGTATGGGGCACCCACTGAAGATCGAATTTGGTACTCAGTCGTAACAGTTTTAGCAACACAAGCTTGCTGGCTATTACACCCCGCCAAGGTGCCCTTTGTCCCTCCTGTCTCTTTCCCTACTTTCTAATCAATACTTGCATTTGTAATATTTATTAAATTTTCAAATACTGGGTTTAAATGTACTAGCAAGGCTGTTTGATTTGGTGGAGTACAAACTTTCTATCATATATTGACTGTTTAATTCCATTTTAATTTTTTTTTGTTTTTCATTTTGAAGTTTGAATGTATATGTGATGTAACTTTTGTAATTTACAGATAACACTTTTGAACATTTTTTTTTTTTTTTTTTTTGTTGGTTGGTTTACTTCAAAGTTCTGACTGCTATCAGAAATAAATTTCTGAATGAAAATCTCGTTGCTGCTTGCCATGCCTTTTATTTTTACAAACTTGGCACATCATCAATACGGACCTTTTGTGTTATTGTTGGCGTTGGCAAATCCTCTCATCTGTCAAAGAAAACAATAATTATTATAATAATTCCTCTGTTCTCTGCAATTACTATTGTCAACAATCAGCTCTTCTTCCGACGAAGACTTTGACATTAAGTTATGAATTAGAGGAAGAAGGGTGACAAAAGCGAGATTTGTCTCTGAATTTTCTATGAGATAGGGGTGGAGGTCTTTTGTCTAGACATGGTTTATTAAATAAGAGGAGGAAAATATAATTCTACCACTCTTTTATTTATTTTTATTTGTTATTTTTTTTATAATTCTCCTCTCCAATATATAAAAACAAGTATAATAAATAACTTCAAAACCAAAATCGTATCACTGAATTTTATTTAAGAGTCTGGATCTGAAAAGTTCTTAGACCAATTTTCAAAAATATAGCCAAATATGAACATTTTTTTTTTTTTCTATTTTTAATCTGATTTAGGTTAAGAACTTTTCAGTACCTGCCTCAGAATATTAAAAAAAAAAAAAATTCTTTTTTTTTTTTTTTTTTTTTTTTAATTTGCATGTATTTTATTTCTAATGAAAAATTCCATATCAATGTTGAATTACTAAAGTCTTGCCCAATAATGTGCCAACACTTCCAGTGGTGCTTACACTACAGCAGTTCACAAATCATTCTGAATGTTTTTGATTAAGCAAGCATTTTCACAATTTGCTAGTTTAATTCCATTTTATTTTTGTCTGTCACTTTTTTTCTTTCTTTAAATGCCATGTTCCTTCTTCAGACAGCTGACTATAGCTCTCCCATGGATTCCTTTTCTTTATTTGTGAATTACCATAACTTCTTGGCTAGTTTCCTGTAGCATTCTCCTAGACTGTCTAGCACCCAAGGCTTGATAGCACAATATAGTATAAAGAACAAGAGAGGAAGATGTTGCAGCAGCTCTAGATTTATATTAATAATTAATATTAATTATTACATTGGTGTAAAAAAACTGTCTGATTATTAAATCATTGAAGCTGCTTTATTTATATATATATATATATATATATATATATATATATATATATGTGTATATGTAATCTCCACGTCAACAATGTAAAACAAAAACACATACATAGTTACTAATACCCAAAAAGAGACTTTTGAAGGAGCGTCCTTTTATAATTTTGAAAGTGTATGTGTAAAAGTTTTCATGTGACATGTTTCATCCTTTAGGGCTTCATCAGACTAAATTTGTTACATTGGTGTAAAAAAAAAAAAAATGTGCACAAATGATGGATACTGGGAAAAGTGATGGTAAGAAAAAGAATCTAAATGAAATTGGCTAGATTATATACTCATAAAAAAAACTTGATTTAAAATTACCAGCATTCCTTATTCATGCATGTATATATATATATATATATATATATATATAGTCACACCAACATAATAGATTTATTCTGATGACATCCTAAAGAATAATATGCATCAGATGAACACTTCCCACTTTTCTGTTTTCTTTAGTAACTTTTTTCATTTGATTCATTTTCAATAATTTAGATATTCAGTTAGTCTTTTTTTTAACCCCATCTCCAAAATAGATAAAGGAAATTGTGTGTGTGTGTATATATATATATATATATATATATATAAGGCAAAATAATGTGAACAGTTAGCAAAAATAGGAACATTTTCAATTCTGGCATTTCCAGATATTTGTAAACATCAAATCAGCATAAAAGGTAACTGCTCAGCACTTTAATCATCTACCTTGCTTTTCCAACTAATTAAGTCATTATTTATCTTCAGGTAAAATAATTAGAAGCTAATGGAGGTCCAGGACCATTTTAGTTAATAAATGATTAAGCTAATGTTCACATTATTTTGTCTAACCCCTGTATATTTTACGGTATGTTGTATACATAAGGGTAAAAGTGCTTAATATAAAAGTGAACACTGAGGCCAACAGCAAGCAGTTTCATGCTTGAACACAATCTTTAGGCCTGAAGATTGCATTCAATAATCAGACAGTTGGTGTTGACCTCAGTGTTTCTCTTCTTTATATATCCCCCCACTAAGCTTCACTTTTATAAACATGCTTAAAAGCATTAAATTAAATGTAATAATGCTTCCCACACTCAACCTTTTTATTGTCTTTCATTTTTCAGGTCCTGTTGATCAACACAATCTTGATGTAGCATCAAAATCTCATCTACTACAGAATTGTCAACGTGACGGTCAGAGTTACGGCCAGTGGGTACCATCGGGCACTATGGCACCTAATGTGATTAACCGTGAACAAAGCATAGATAGTAATTCAGACACTTCCTCCCCAACTGAACAAGAGAAATCTACGAGGAAACACCATAACCCAATGCCCATCATTGTGATAATGGCTCCTGACAATGCCTTTGATCATCTTCTTCCTGAGGGCACTCAGTATTCCTCATATCCTTACCACTGCTCCCAACAACGTTACTGGCGTTCCAAGAAGGCTACATTCCTCTTCTGCATTGTCATCATGGTGCTACTTGCGTTGTTCTGTATTACGATTATCGCCACTACTAATATCGTTCAACAGGTTGTTCAATCGGGTCATCCCCCGGGACCGCAACCTCTAATTCAGACATCTTGTGGCCCTGTAAAAGGAGAGTACCAAGATGGAAGTTGGGTTTTTCGTGGAATCCCATATGCCATGCCACCCATCGGACACCAGCGTTGGAAACCACCTACCTCAAACCAGATGCCGAACGGGCGTTGCTGGGAAGAAACGCACATGGCTACATCCTATCCAAGTGTCTGCTTCCAGATGGACAGCAATCATAGCAAGGTGATTGGCAGTGAAGATTGTCTGTATCTGAACGTCTGGATGCCGCATAACTATGACGAAAAGAAACCCAGATTGCCTGTTGTCGTTATGATGCAAGGTGAGGGGCAATCCTTTCACAAGGATACCCCACAGAAATCTTTTGAATTTATTCGCCACTATGTGAATAAAGCACAGGCAGTTTTTGTTAGCGTCAACTACAGACTGGATATTTTGGGTTTTTTACCTACTGCTCAGAATTTATTTGGGAGACAAAGCAGGGAAATTGTCACTGGAAATTTTGGCCTCATGGATCAGATCTTGGCTTTAAAATGGATTCAGAAAAATATTGAAGACTTTGGTGGAAATTATAGCCAGGTAATTTTTTTAGATCTTTAAAATGTCTTTCTGGTTATGTGCAAGAGTCATAAATGTCAACATGTGTGCCTTGGGCACATTTGTTTATGACTCTTAAAGTAAATTCTGTTTCGGTGGTTGTTTTATCAAAGATGGATCAGAATCGGACAATGATAGTACAAAGAACAAATTGGAAACCTTTATGAATCTAACACTTTCCACTTTTATTTAAGATTTATCAGAGAATGAGTTATGGTAAAAAGAAAGGAATTTCTGATATTTTTATTTTTGTGTTTGATAATCTTTGGCTAAGCAGACTTCACATGCATTTGACTTGTCAAGCAATATCCATGTGTTTAATTTGTGCTTATGTGTATCATAAGTCTATTGTGTGAGATATATGAAGTAACAATATATAATTTTATATATCGACAAACAGTATTTAGAAAAATATAACAAACTGGAAAGTTTGTTTTTTTTTTTTAGTTTTTTTTTTTTTTTTTTTTTTTTGTGACATGTTTCATCCGTGACAAAAAGAAAAATAATAAAAAAAAATATTCTTTTGAAACTATCTGCTGCACCTCTCATTTCATGCATACGTGTAGATGTGTAATGTCAATAAAGCCCAATCTGATGATATCCTAATAGATGAAATGCATCGCAAAAAATAACCTTTCCAGTTTGTCAAATTTTTCTAAAAATTGATGAACCAATTAAAATGTATCTCAATAAACTTAATAATAGCTCTAACAAAATTGATAATATTAATAATAATATTGTATGTCAAAATAAACATAACACTATTAATTTATACTATTGTAACCAAATGCATAATAATTAAAAACACGATGAAACAACACTCAAAAAACATAATAGGTAGAAATGTTAAACCCATTAATAATAATAAACAAGTTAAGCTTATCATATATTATAAAAAATTTAAAACCCCTTGACCTCATAGTTTCCAATAACCCTACAACCACACAACTAAATCCTCTACTAAAACCAATGTAATGTATCAACTTACATGCCCGTTGAAAGATTGTATCTCTGATACTAATAATAGATCCACTACTACAACTATGCTCTCCAATAGACTTACCTGTCACCTTTCTGATCTTAATGCCATTAAACATTTCTTCAAACCAATTGCAACATACTACAATGCATTTAAACACCTGGTCCTGTTGATAACATTTCTTTCTCTCATATGGTCATGTGCAAGAAAGAAATATATCAGTGGCTGAGTAGTCCAAAGCACACTGGATCAAACCATAGTTTCCTTTTCAAAAGGGCAATGCACTCAACCCCTACTGAGGGGTGCATTTTAAGTATACCGGTCACTATATGTAGTTTAGACACTCTTTTGTGTGTGCGTTTATTTTATTTTTTTATTTATTTATTTATTTTTTTTTATTTTTTTTTTTTTTTTTAAATAAATAAAAAAAAAAGATGCAGGGTTTCTACTCACACATTTATCCACTAATATATAACAATTAAGTAATAAGAATTAATATCAGATTAAAAGAAAATCCATTAATTTCACTCCTATGAGAAAGACAGTAGGCATCCATTTATCTCCCAAGATAAAGGTAGTGCCCAATTTGGTCAAAATTCAGTCCTTTAGTAATGAAACTGGAGTGATTCTGTATATGGAGGCCATGTGCTGCCCAAACTACATGGACCCCTCTTGGCTGTACTGACAAGATCAAAAGGAATACAAGTCATTACATTTGAGCATAGCTTGGCTGCAGGAAGTTGTCAGTGTTGACAGCCAACCATCTTTGTGTCTCCATTTTAGGTTTTCTGCCTGGATTTACTTCCATAACCTTTTCCATTTTTGGATATGACTGCAAGACAGTGGAGGTTTAAAATTTTACAATCTAAAACTATTTTCTGGCTTTAAATAATCTGCAAGAGGTTGTTAAGCCATAAAAAAACAAATCAAATTGTTGAATAAAGAATGAAAGAATAACAAGACCTGATGAATATAGAGAAAAATTCTATTACCAATTCTTACTTATGGAAAAGAAAAAAAACATTAAACTTTTTTTTTTTTTTTAATATGTATTGCTTTTATTAATCCTTTAGCATTCAAACAGGGTTTCATCTCTGCAAAACCAAAATTGATGTGGTTCTTAAAAATGCTTCATTTGTAACTGTTTAGACCCTTTTTAAAACTATTTCTTAATTTTTAGTTGAAAATATGACACAATTCTGCCTAAAATGATGCAGACAATAAGAAGCATTTATCACAAGTCAAACTTTCTTCCTCTAATGTAAAAAGATACCCATCTGCCCTCAACTAATAACAAAAGCCACATTACTGATTTAGTCAGCATCTTCATGTTAGATGCATGTTTTGAAAATGTCTCTTCTGTTCCTTCAGTAAGAAAATTACAAAGATAAACATTAATGTCTGTTTTGGCAGTGTGTTTTGTTTTTTTATGGGTTTTATATTGAAGTTTGCAATTTTATTCATATTTTTGTCTTCATCAGAGAATGAGTTCTCGTAAAAAGAAAATTCTGATTTTTATTTTAGGTTTTGATAATCTTTGGTTAAGAAGACTTCACATGCATTTTGACTTGTCAATGTGTATAACTTGTGTGTAAGTGTATCATAATTCTAGTTTATCTGTGGGATGTGTGTGTGTGTATATATATATATATATATATATATATATATATATATATAAAAAAAACTGTGTTTTGAAAAATGAAAACAAATACATACATGCAGCAAACTATTTCTTATTTAACAGTTAAAATATTTCGTCCTTGAAAATGGCTAAATGTATAGCCAAAAGCGCTTGGAAAGAAAAGAACACTTGGACAGTTTTTATGTAATTTATCTGAAAAGAAAAAAAAAATTATTAGTTCACATGAGAAATTGTATAAAAAAAAAGCTAGATCAAACCACCTTGTCTATCATATTCAATGATATATATATATATATATGTGTGTGTGTGTGTACTAGTTATTTTTTATGGCTGTTTTGGAAGTTTTTTTTTTTTTTTTTTTTTTTTTTTTTTTTTTATGACTGTTTTTATATTGAAGTTTGCTATTTTATTCTTATTTCTGTCTTTTGTTTTAGGCAGTGACTGTTCTCTTCCATTTTAGGTAACAGTGTATGGAGAATCATCAGGAACAGAGACCATGTTGGGTCTCCTGACCAGTCCAAAGGCTCAAGGATTGTTTCAGAGGATGCTGGTTATAAATCCATCCTTTCTACCCATCCAGCCTTTTCCTCAGGCTGTCTATGCTAATAATAGCTTATTTTCCCATACTGGTTGTCATGGGGATGTAGAATGCTTGATGATGTTGGAAGGAGGAGAACTGATGATGGCTACATCTGCTCACCGCCTGTCGAAACACAAGAGATTCAAAGAAATGTTACCTCCTAATCACCGTTTTCCTTTAATCATTGATGGTAAATTTCATTTTTATTGACAAAATGACATTGTTACCTGGTTACCCAAAATTAAAAAAAAGCAAAAATGATTCTAATTAGATATGCAATTTTCTTTCAGACAAAAACAAAACCCTGTCTTGGGTATGACAATAAACTATGTCCAGCGGCAAGGCCTCTGATCAGGAGATTTTGAAGAGTGTGGAACCACCTCTTAATTGCTGGTCTTCTCAGGTCCACCCTGACCCGGGCTGATAGCACCTGTTAGGGTCTCAGCCATGGATAAATAGTTAACCCCCCCCAAACTGGAGTCAAAACACTATGAAAGTGTAAAAGTAGGTTTTAATACCAGAAATATTTTGTAAAAAAAATTATTACCAGCAATAAAAATTTTGTCAGCATTAAATAACCCATTGAGGTTGATATGGCTCAAACCAAACCTAAAAACAAAACCCATGTTAAATTTATTAGCATTGATAGATATGGTCACCTGCTACATGACTTTGTTATTATACTGCATAGTATCTCTGGAAGAGGCAGCAACCACTCCTCAGTTAATTAGCAAAAGCCATAGCAAAAATAGTAACAACACTTTTAGGGACTATCAGCCCTTCCCATCTTGAAAATTCTGTCAATTTCATCTACAAATTGAATAGAATAACTATTAAAAATAAAGTCATGATCAACATACTAGCTGATAGATGTCCTACTTTTTTTTTTTTTTTTTTTTTTTTTTTAACCCTTTGGAGACTGCTTCATTTGAAGTTTCGTTGCCTAGAAGACCAGCCAGCTAATCTCAAAGCTTATATTATCAAGCCAATGGATCAGCCCAGTTGTCTTTGTCAGTCGGTAGATTGGCCCTGTTGTCTCTTAAAGGTTAAGAAGCAACCTTACAAAATCAAACTGAAACCCTTGCCTACTAACAGCCATAAAAAAAAAAATTGTCAACTTCATACTAACTTGTGGTAATAGACACCCACATTGAAGGGGAAGATGTGGTTTTATCTCAGTGTCAAGTATTTCTGTTTAAGAGCCAGTAGGTGGAACTCAGTTTTTCAGTGATTCTTACGATAAATGGTATCAAGATGGCTAAACATCTTATCTGAAAACCTGGGGAAAAAGAAACTTGATTAGATTAGTGTTTTTTAGATATTAAACATTTTGTGGGATGGACAATTATGCTCTGTTACAGTGTGTGTATATATTTTTTTTGTATATATATAATATATATACACACACACACACACACACACACACACACACACACACACAATGTCCCATGCCAGTGAGGAAATTGTTAATCTACATTAAAGTCAACCACTTTCACACTCTGATCATTTTTTTCTCTCTCTTATCAGGTGAAACATTGGTAAGTGAGAGAGGACAGATTAAAGAAAAGAGACCAGAAGTTCCAGTCATGATTGGTAATTATCTTTTTTTTTTCTTTCCCTTCAAACATAAATGTTAATGAAACTGCAATGTTATATTAAAATTACATGCACTAAGTTTACTTGTAAAATATGTATTTTCATTGTCTATTACTAGAGCAGCCAGGATTTTTTAAGCTGAAATCGCAATTCTATATTTAGATTTCTTCTAACTAACGATCTCGTCTTCATTGCTGTCCTTTTTCAAAGTTTGTAATTATCATTGATGTCAGTAAACTTGACATTTGTAAATAAAAACAAAGTACAGAAAACAGTTCATGAAGTCAGGGATCAATTTGCAAATATTATGAACAGGAACCCTCACTTCTAAAATGATAATGAATATTTTTAGTTTGGAAAAATGTTGAGGGTAGAGATGAAAATTTCATGGATCATTATTGGAGAACTTCTTTCATTTATGTTATTTAGTCAGACTAATGTCCTCAGACTTGTCACATTTCAACAGTGCTCCTCTCAAGCAGGTGTTGATCCAGGTAAACTTTTAGGGAATTTTGAACCAAACCCATCATGACTTCCCTCTTAAACCAACCCTCCACACGCAATATTTTTTTCTTTTGCTGACTCTCTGACTGACTCTCTCTCTCTCTCTCTCTGACTGACTCTCTCTCTCTCTCTCTGACTGACTCTCTCTCTCTCTCTCTGACTGACTCTCTCTCTCTCTCTCTGACTCTCTCTCTCTCTCTCTGACTGACTCTCTCTCTCTCTCTGACTGACTCTCTCTCTCTCTCTGACTGACTCTCTCTCTCTCTCTCTCTGACTGACTCTCTCTCTCTCTCTCTGACTGACTCTCTCTCTGACTGACTGACTCTCTCTCTGACTGACTGGCTCTCTCTCTGACTGACTGGCTCTCTCTCTGACTGACTGGCTCTCTCTCTCTCTCTGACTGACTGGCTCTCTCTCTCTCTCTCTGACTGGCTGGCTCTCTCTCTCTCTCTGACTGGCTCTCTCTCTCTCTGGCTCTCTCTCCCCCCCCATGATTTACCCCATAAGATTTTCTCCCACTTGCCCATGATTTTTTTTCTCTCTGTCACTCTCCTACGACCCCCCCCCCCGCCATCCCACAATTTTTTTTCTTTTTCCTTTTCCTTCCCATTGCCATCATAATTAAATTTTTGGTTCACATATGACACACACACACTCAGTGGAAACAGATCAAGCATTAACTGAACTGTACTAAATAACAAAACAAAATACCCCAGCGTTGGACAGCAGAATGAGAACACTTTAGCCCTTGTAGATTAAACAAATGTTTCACTTTGACCTTTCTCGAAGGTAACCTAAATCAACAGACTCCTGAAGAAGGTCAAAGAGCACAACACCTAAAATGTGATAACATCAATAAAGATAGGACATTAGTCTGACAGTAAATATCAACACCACATCCCAGAAATTCATACAGATCTTTTTCGTTTTCTTTCTCAGGATTTTCCAATTGGTATACACCATGTGCTGAAGACCATCTTGAGAGAAATTTCACCAAAGTTGTACAATTGAAATTTAAGTTGAATGTTCAATCAGCAAAAAAGATAATCATGATGTACACCAAGCAAAAGAATGAAAGCAATGGTGAAACTTTGGAAGAGATGTTGTTTGACATCAAAATGTGCCGAGCTCAGAAAATGCTCTCAAATATTAACTTTCCAGTCTATTATTCAATCATTCGCCCTCATTCCCTGTCACTCCAGGAAAGCCAGGAAGCCAAAAAAAATGCATCTTCATTGCAGTCCTCATCTGCTAACATGGGTGCGCATGTAAAATGTTCCAAACAAGGTAACAGAGATACCCACAGCCTTTTTCTGTCTGAACTGCAACAACTCTGGAGAGAAGGATTTTCCTTAATCAAAACCGGACGTCCCTCAACAAGCAAAGTGCCCAATACAACAGCCCTGATTTCTGATAATGTGATTACCATTGAAGCCAATTACCATCAGAAAGAGTGTGCTTTCTGGTCACGGCATAAAACGGTGTAGCAGTTACTGATGATTCAGAATGTCGAACGAAAAGTAAATTGATATTGATGAAGGTGTGCGGATCTTGTTGACCGAAAATTAAACTAGTCATGGCTTAACATTTTTGCTACATCTTCCAAAGAGGTCGCAGCATCACTAAGAGGTTGAAATGAAATATATTTCAGATTCATGTTTATCTTTGAAATGAACTATAAATTTTAAGAAGTATACATGTCCATTGAATATTTGCCAGTAGATTTTCCTGATGAACAGAATTTCTGACAGAATCGCAATATTCTGGATCTTTGAAGAGGAGTTAATATCAAAGAAAATGAAATCTGTTAATGCTAACAAAAAAAAATTTTTTTTTTTTTTTTTTTTTTTTTTTTTATTTAGAAACTGTCCATGAATGGTTTTGTAATACAAAACAGATAGTTTTCCTTTCCTTTTTTTGCATTCCACATTTGAGCCTGTTAAAAGATTGCTGCATAATTAAAATTTCCTATAAAATATAAAATAAAATGGCTCTTCCTATAAAAAAGGTAGGGGAAAAAAGAAATTGGATTCGAAGGAAGACCTGAACCGTTTCAAAGCTGTGCTTCCATCATCAATGGACACCGAAAATGGTCTCCTTCAATCTCAACATATTTAAATCGGTATCCTTGAAATGCATGTCAAGGTTTAAAATGTCTGTGCCCGAGACTAACCAGTGCTCGTAGCCAGCAAATTGGAAGATCTTTTGAAATACAAGACTTGAATTATTTTTTTTCCTTGCTCATATTACTGATGTCCATTTTTTATTTTTTTTTATTTTTTTATTGTAAAAATGGATGCCTGATTATATACATACAGGGAGAGACCTTCAAAAGATTAATAATTTGCTTTCTGGGGTCCGGCTGGACGGGGACGGAATCATTGTTTGATCAGAAAGAGATTGAAATGATGACAAAGAACTTTACCTTACATACATGAATTTTTTTTTTTTTTTTTTTTTTTTTTTTTGTTTGTTTGGAGTCGTGATACTTCCTAATTTATTACAATACAAAATGAGAAGTTTCCAATATTGAAAAAGGTCACTGTTTTTTTTACCCCCACCCCTATTCAAATGATCTGCTTTCTGTCCCAACTAAAACGCCTCCCACAGCAATAATTTTGAGTGTTTAGTGACTCTGCTTTCAACTTACTCTGGAGGAACACTCTTGAAACCGGCCATGATATTATTTTCATATTTTATTCCTCGTCTTTTAAGAGTTTGTTTTTTTTTTTTTTTTTTAGCGCTTGTTCTTCTCAGACGTAAGTCACAAACTACTTGGAGAGGCACAACAAGATAGGCATTCTATAGAAAACAAAAGCTCCAATTCGATATCTTACTGTTTTTTTTTTTTTTTTTTTTAAGAATAGGGAGAGAGAGAGAAAAAAAAATCTTCATTTTGTTTTCCAATTTCTAAGTTCCAAAATGTTTTCCACTTTTCTCATGAAATTTATTTAAACCTTCATATGTCATAAGGTTGTGTGTGTGTGCTTGTATATATGATTTGATGGTTCTTGTCTACCAGTAGCAGTACTAAACAAAAGTGAAAATAAGATTTATTTATTAGTTAAAATATTGCAACTTATTTATTTTAATCAACTGACAAAAAAGGCCATCTGATTATTTGATTGTTCTCAGGAATTTTTTTTTATGAAATGCAAAAGAAAAGAATGTTCTTTTTAATAAGTGGAAATGAGTTAAAATGAGCACTTAAAAACGTTCAAGCAAAGTTTAGTTTCTCCAGATGAGCAGGAATGCTTTCCCTCTCTCCGGAATGAGATTTTAAAAGTACAGATTATGATATTTATTAAACCTGCTTTTGGTTTTTGTGAAAGTAACTTAAAGAAAAAAAAAGGTGGAGCCCCTTATGTGCTAAAATACAAGTGGGTACTGCCTGACTTGCTTCCAAAATTCAATTATTATTAAACTATTTTTTTAATAACAAATTAGGTTGATAACTTATCAACACCCTCCTTCTCATAATTTTTTTCTGCTTATTCCTACTTTTCTTTGTCATCCATTTTTTAGGGCATTTCATTTGTTTTTATTTATCACTTTTGGAAGTAGATTGGACATTACAAAGGTAGCAAAAATATTGGAGAAACTTGGCCTGTTTGTCTGCCTGTGTTTTTAGGAACTCTGGCCACCAACTGGAGAAGCCAATCATAAAGTCAAAGAATTGAAAAGAGACCAGTATCTATAGCATTGATATTTACAATAACTTAATGTTTCTGTGCTCTAAAAGTATGGTTACTTCTCATTAATAATTTAAAAAAAAAAAAAAAAAAACATTTTTTTTTTTTTTTTTTTTTCAATCTGAAAATTTAAAAGCAAATTCAAATTCTTTGACATTTCCCTTTGCTCCAACTGATTTTTTTTTCTTCTCCTGTCCCTAAAATGACCTGAACTTGATGTTGAGAAAAATTCCTTACTAGTTGGAGGAAAAGCTCTCTCTGAACACTTTAGATGTTGCAATTGACTTTGGTTTTTATCATTGGACTTCAGAATAAATCTATTAAACATCAAAATATTTCCTTTGATATTTCCTCTGTTTTGAAGAGAAGAGCTTATGTATTTATCAGTTCATTAAATTAAGTGGGTAACTCAACTCTTTACAGAAAAACATCCTTTTGCTTATCAGGTTATTAATTCACAAGTTCAGTCCTTCATATAATTAATGTCGAATTTGAGCAGTTTTCTTCTCTCTCCAACATTTTAGTGATATTCCCACTGGAATGTAAATGCATTTTTTTTTTTATTTCTTTAAAATTCCGAGGGCTAAAACTGTACAAATGTTTGAGAAACATTGCTTTTTATTTGTTTATTTATTTATTTTTTGTAAATATGTTTATTCATGTTGACAAAGTCAATGAAATAGATTCCGGTGTTTAAGCAGTTAACTAAGCCTTGAGCAAGTCTTTCATTATATTTAACTTATGGGCTTTTAATTTCTTTTAAATTGTTGTAATTAAGCAATACATATTTGTAAAATTATGCCTATAAACATTTATGTTTTGTGCATATTAGAATGAAAAACAACAATTTTCACTTTTGCTTTTATTTTATTTTTTTACAGAAATTGTTACATTTTGCATATATATATATATATATATATATATATATACACACACACACCTTTCTCTTCAGGGTGACCCTACCTGCAGAGTGGTACAGTGATAGTCTCTTTTATTATGCAAGTCTTCTCTTTGCTTTGACAACATTTTTACAAATAAATGCTGATATTTAATGAACTGTTGCAATCTCATCATTTTTACCAAAATAGTTTTTGCATGAAATTCTATCATATTCGCTAAAAATAACTCTCCCTGACCCCACTCCAGCCAATTGTTTTTTTTTTTTTTTAACTTTGGCTTTAAAAATAATTGCATCTGATGAGCTTGTGTGAATAAATAACAGAACATGATGTGGGAGCAGTTGGGGAAAAAATTGCTAAGGACATAAGATAGATATGGTAGTTTTGGAGAGCCATTATTGCTAATACACTGAACGGATGCATCTTATAGAACCAAAACCAGTGGAAATGCAAATTTTTTTTTTTTTTTTTTTCAATGGATTATCTTATAATTCCTCTCTCTGTAATTCTGTTATCTAAATATTATTTTAAATTATTTTTTGAATTCAGGGCTGACTCCTTTTTGAGTACCAGAAGCAGATTAAATTTAATGGTATGTGAGGGATGAATATTCTCAAATATTTTATTCCTTAATATTGTAAATAGTGTCAGTTAGTTGTGATGTCTCTTGTTTCTGCCAATGAACCAGGGTAATTTTTCTACATGCTTAGTCATTTTAAACAATTGAATGCATTACTGTGATTTTCTCCTCAACACATCCACATACACACACACACACACCTCTCCAAAGAAAATCAACTTAAAGCACTTTTCAATCACTACAAACCATAATTGATGGGAGTACAGTGGAGAAGAGATTAATCATATATACTAGTATACTTTAGCTTATATTTAAAGAGTTCCTAACATTTTTATATATATATCTCATCAAAAATGACAGCGGTTAAGTTTAGTGGTTTTTTTGTTTATTTTTTTTGTGTTCTTATTTTCTTTTTTTTTTCCCAGGATATACATCATCTAGAAATTATTCAAATATTTTGTGTGTTTGAGTGTTTTTGGCTATGCTTTTAGCCATTATCAAAGGATTGTTTTAGTTTTACTGAATGTATGGATTTTTATGTATGTATCTAGAGTTCTAGAAATGTTTTATTTTCCAAACACAGTCAGCACATTGTGGCTGTGTTCATAGTTGATATTATTCAGTGTTGACTTTTTTCTTTTTTTAATTCTTCCATTATTTCCAGTCTGTTTTAATGAAACTTGTATAAAAGAGGGATTGCTGTTTTATATAATTGTGTATTTGGACAGCAATCCTTCTTTTATACAAGTTTCATCGAAGAGGACTAACAGGTCACTGGGGGGGGGGAATTTTTTTCATTCATACAAGTGATTACTTTTCAGGACATTGTGTGTAAAAATTGTTCTATTAGCCATTGTCAAGGATTTCTTTTTTTTTTTTTTTTTGTAAACCTCCATATTCTGTGAAACAAAAGAAATTCTTGATAATGACTAATAGATGAGCCAAAAATACTCAAATTCAGAAATCATTTGTACAGTTTTTGTCCAGAAAAATCCACTCTCCTTTTTACAAATAAATGCTGATATTTAATGAACTGAAAAGCAATCAGATGCCAGAAAAAATTAATAAAAAACATATTGCATAATATAACTCTATTTATGACTAGGGCCATCCTTTCATAGGAATTAAATTTAAGCATTTTTTGCTCTGTCTATACTTCAAGTGTGTGCCAGGCCTATTTTTTTCAGTATTGTCATTTTAATTTGAGACTTGTCAAGTTGTCTGTTGGTTCCATTAACAGTTTCGGGTTTCTTTAATTTTATATATATATATATATATATATATATATAATTGTCACTGAGCTGATTTGTGCTATA